TATATATATATACTGTATATATATATATATATAAATATATTCTGACTGTTATTTCATATGTCAGGCTTTAAAAATGGTTAAACACAAAAAAAAACACATCTTAAAAGCCTTGTGTTCTGTCTATAGTTGTTATTAATATTGTTGTGATTTTATGACTGACCGTTTCTCACAGCCGTAAATGAAGCCACTTACACCTGGGAAGGATGCCTTCCTCCACGCCACTACAAAAACCCTGTTTACTCCTGTAAAGTGTTTCTGGGAGGAGTGCCATGGGACATCACAGAGGGTGAGCTGACTGACACTCATTTGAGATGTAGGTTTTATTCTGTATTATGGTTCTGAACACAAACAAGTTTTAAATAACAACTTTTCTGTCTCTGTAGCGAGTCTGTTGAACACATTTAGTGTTTTTGGTCCGTTGAAAGTTGAGTGGCCTGGTAAAGATGGTAAACATCCACGCTGTCCTCCGCAAGGTAACAGCAGAATTCATCTTATAGTAGTATATATGATCTATAATTCAACAACATCTCATACCAAGTAGGCTCAGTGTAAAAAGGACCAATATAGAAACATATTTGATGTTTAACCATATAAAGCTTTTATGGATTATTCCTGCTTTTCAGGAAATAGAAATCATTTAAAATCATTTCCAAATTATCAGCATTTGTGTCACACATCTTTTTGCTGGGAAATCGTTGCTGAATTTGATCAAAAAACAGCAAGAATAGCTTTTATTTTGTTACTGATATTTCAGAATCAATATTTAGCACCTTTAAATCAGTGTTATTTTGTTATACTTTATATACTATTATAGTTTATATTTTATATTAGGCTAATATTTTGAATTAGCTTTTTTTTGTAATTTTGTTATGTGCTTTTGTCATTATTATTATTATTATTTTAGTTTTTATTTATAAATTTTTTTAAATGACTTTTTCTGTTTAAATAGTTTTTATTTCAGCTGTAGTTTTAATTCACCTTTACTTTTTATTTATTTCCAGTTAGTAATTTAAGTAATTTAATTTCAAGGTTTAGTAACTTAACTTCAATTTAATTTATTTAATTTAAATTATTTTTAAAAGTCTTTAATATTCTTAGATAACAATAATAAACCTACTTAAAATGCCTTTCATGATGACAATAAAATTATCATCAAACCATTTAATTATGAAATTATATATAGTAAAAATTAGATTTTACTAAGAAATATTTAGTTTTGAACTGATATTTTGTTTGCAAATGATATTTGCAGACTGCTTCATAGTTATTAAAATTACATTTGATTTGCATTTTTCATTATTCAAAATAATGTAATTTATGCATATATTGATATATTTGTACATTTATGTTTATAATATATTTATATTACTCTTATTTTACCTAGTTTATTTGGTGACATTGAAACTCGGTTTTTGATTTCCACTAATCTAAATGAGAAGTCTCTTTTATGAACAAAAAATTATTAAATGAATAGAAATGCTTCAGAGATTGTAAAAATACATCAATGAAAAAAAGAAAAGAATGAAAATAAAAACATTGAAAAAAAATATGTACACACATACAGTATGTACAGAATATTCAGTATAAATATATTAAATATATATATATATATATATATATATATATATTAGGGGTGTAACGGTACACAAACATGACGATTCGGTACGTACCTCGGTTTTGATGTATGTTTCGGTACAGCAGGGAAAAACTAAAAAATTTTTTGTTGTTATTTTGTTTTTTAAACAGGGATCAATTACTGATCAAATTGCTCTTTCTTTAAAGGGGTCATATGATGCAATTTCAAGTTTTCCTTTCTCTTTGAGTGTTACAAGCTGTTCGTGAATAAGATAATAGATAAGATGCCTAAAGTTGCAAAGACTAAAGTCTCAAACCCAAAGAGATATTCTTTATAAAAGTTAAGACTCGTCCACGCCCCCCTAAAACGCCTCGTTTAAACACGCCCCCACATGTCTATGTCACGATGTGGGAAGATTTGCATAACGCCGCCCAAATGTTCACGCAAAGAAAGAAGGCGTAACTTTTATTCTCGCTGTAGTATTGTTGTTGCCGCCGCCGCCATGTCGTGGATACGCTGTGTTTCGTTGTGAAAGCAAAACTGCTTTGTTTGGTCTTCCAAAAGAGGACGATATCCGCTTTGTCATGCCTAGAGCTGATTCGTGCTGGTCGCTGAGGAAATACATCAACTTCGCGCTGTGGATCACCAGATCGGCTTTCACCGTGGACGAAGCGGAGTCCAGCCCGGGGTCACAACATGTGGTTGCCGCAAGCCCGCCGGACGCTCCTTCGCCCGCCGTGTGTGACGCTGTGTTTCGTTGTGAAAGCGAAACTACTTTGTTTGGTCTTCCAAAAGAGGACACGACTAGAAGTCAGTGGTTAAGTTGTATTTACAGCACTGTTCCAGAACAGTTCAACCCAAATATTCAGATGTGTGCAGCAAATTTTATGGAGGACTGTTTCCTGAACATGCAGAGTAGCCTATAATGCGTCTGTGCTCAAAGGCTGTTTCTATAAAGTGGGGCAGTTCCAACTTTGCAAGGACGGTCTGAATAGTCTTTTGTGCCTACCAAGATTTTATTTATTTGATCAAAAATAAGGTAAAAAAACTGTAATATTGTATTATAATATTATTACAATTTAAAGTTTTCTATTTGAATATACTGTAAAAATGTTTCTATTATGCAAAGCTGAATTTTCAGCATCATTACTTCAGCCTTCAGTGTCACATGATGCTTCAGAAATCATTCTGTTATACTGATATGATGCTTAAGAAACATTTCTTATTATCATCAATGTTGGAACACAGTTAATAATTTATAATATTATAATATCCTAATGGAAAATGTGATACACTACTATTCAAAAGGGGTATGATTAAAAAAAAGAAATCAATACTTTTATTCAGCAAGGATAGATTAAATTGATCGAAAATTACAGTAAAGACATTTATAATTGTGTAATCACTACAGACGTTTGTTACAAAAATCTATTTTGAATGAATGCTGTTCTTTTGATCTATTCAGAAGCCTGAAAAATGTATTATTGTTTCCACAAAAATATTAAGCTGCAAAAACAATGTTTTCAGCATTGATAATAATAATAACAATTATTAATAACTGAGCACCAATAACAACTCAGCATATTAGAATGATTTCTGGAAAATTTCTGAAAAAAGATCGGAGTAATGATGCTGAAAATTCAGCTTTTGCATCACAGAAATAAATTACATTTTAAAATATATTTACATAGCAAACATAGTTAATTTAAATTGCAATATTTCACAATATTACTGTATCACAATATTACTGAGCACGAGAGGCTTTTGCCAGTGTATTTTCACTCAGAAATTGGTAGTAAATTTCACAAATGATCACAAAGAAATGGCAAGTAAAACATGAATTAAATGTGAAATATATATATATTTACAACTTCAGAAAAATGCATTTTTAACAGCGTGTATATATACTGTGTATATATATATACATATATACTATATATAGTCTTACTACTTCTTCAGCCATGGAGTGAATGTGTTGCGTTTTTTCATCTAGGCTCTGGCAGAGTGACGTTCAGAAGTCAGAGGAGCTATTTGAAAGCCGTGACTGCAGCGTTTGTGCAGATAAAAACCTGCAAGTTTACCAAGAAGGTACAATAGAGCAGAACTCAGATATACCATATACTGTGGGATCAGCCCTGTGGATCTCCCTCTCTTTCTGTTCCCTCTGTAGGTCCAGATTGACCCGTATCTGGATGACTCCATGTGCCAAATATGTAACAGTCAGCCCGGCCCATTCTTCTGTAGGGCTCAGGTAGGAATCAGATTCTGCACAGCGTCATACCAAGCGTTACAGCTCAGTTCACTTAGTTCCTAATTCTTTGGTGTCTTTCACACTGTGTAATTTAGCTTTGGACAATGACACATCTGTATCATTAATGTGATGATGAACAATAATTTTTAAGCATTGTTCTGTTTATTTTTATTTTATTTTTTATTGTGAAAAATATTTCTTAGAAGTAGGGAATCTTTGGGTTGACAGCGAATTGATTTTATTATTGATTCACTGGGTTTTGATTCAGTACACAATAATACAAAAATATATATATATATATATACACTGTATATATATATGTGTGCGTGTGTGTATTTATAATTACATTTCATTATCAATTAACTAGTTTTGAGATTTTTTATTGTGGAAAATATTTCTTAGAAGTAGGGAATCTTTGGGTTGACAGCGAATTGATTTTATTATTGATTCACTGGGTTTTGATTCAGTACACAATAATACAAAAATGTATATATATATATATATACACTGTATATATATATGTGTGCGTGTGTGTATTTATAATTACATTTCATTATCAATTAACTAGTTTTGATTTCAATTCGGTATACAGTCTTGATTCATCTGATTTTTAGTTTTATATATATATATATATATATATATACACATACACACGCACACAGAGTTGAATTGTTTTTAAAATTTTGAATCTAAGATAGATTATTATTGATCAACACAAATTTGTTAAATAAGTTTAAAGTGTGTTTTAATGTCTTAAGTATGTGTCAAACTCCTTTTCCAGTACTGTTGAAAATGATGACCGTGTGACATTCATACAAATTATACACCACCTATACGTGATTCATAGCAATTTATTGATAAAAACTCACAGTACTGCACCAACCAACCAAACCAAACTCTTGCCGTATTGCGCTGACATGCATATTTTTTCAACTCTTTAGGCCTGTTTTAAATACTACTGTCGGTCATGCTGGCATTGGCAGCATTCTCTGGACGTGTTGAGCAGCCATCAGCCTCTCATGCGCAACCAGAAGGGCCTGAACCCCAAATAAACCCACCGCTGCCGGCGTGGGGAAGAGTCCGGACTGAGTTCACTGTTTTGGGGAAGGATGTTAGCGTGAGTCAAGGGCGACTCACTTGAGGAAGTCACTGCGTTGTATTGCACTGCTCTCGTTCTCGTTCATTAAGGCTCTATGCACACTAAAGGGTTCGTTGATGGTGACCTGTTTGCACAGCTGACCAGACAGCCATCGCCTTGGAGATCTGATTTTAAAGAGTTGTGTTTTAGATTTTGCATGCACAGATTATTAGTTTATCTCGCAGGCTTGACTCTCTGATGCAGGCAAAAGCCAGTCGGTGCCTTCGGCTTCTCTTTTGTTACCAGTGTTTTAATACCATTATTTTGGTTTATTTTATTGATTTTTAAGGTGGTTTTACCTGCTTTTCTACTGCTGGTTTAGGTCATAGCATATGAAACAGATTTTTTAAGTTTGCCTGCCTCAAGCGTCTTTTCCTGTAGGGCCTTTTTTATTTACCCTTTTTAATGCTCTATTAAATGGTTGATGAGCATCTTGGCTTGTGAAATGTTCTAGGAAGTGACATCACAGCTGGCTGATGCTGTTGCTTGGCAACCACCCTGCCATCAATCATCCATCAGATCGGATACATGTTAGCAACTCTGGATGGTTCTGTGCTGTATATAGTTTTTATCAAATCATAGCACTTTTTTTTAAACATAGCACTAGGGAAATGTTTGCCAGTGGTTTTAAAATTGTTTGTTTGAGCAGATAGAGGTGGAATTCTCACGTTGAGTTTGGTGTTTTGTGTTAAACCCTCCTAACCTTAGTTAGCCGCTCTGGTTTCTCGCTGAAGCTGTGCCAAAGAGTATAATCTCTTCCTCGTTGCCTTTTGCAGCCGCTTTTTAGAATTTCAAAGTCTCTACCTCATTGCTCTGCAAGTATTGCCATGGTTATTTACAAAATAAAGTTGTTGAAGCACTGAAACATTTGACGCTCGGTTTTATTTCAAGGTTCAAACAAGAAAGTGTTAGAAAAAAATCTCTCAAAAGAGAAATATTTAAGTTATTTGAATATCCTCTGATTTCATTTATAAACTATTTTCATAAAAAAAACATTAATATCATCAAATACCACCCAATATTTTTTCCTTGGTATAAATAAGAAATTATATGACTATAATTCAGTACACAATAATGCTATCATTTTTATGTTCTGTATTTTTTGGTTTAGAGTTTGGTCCCAGAATGACAGGATTGCCAGATGATGCCAATTGAGTGTGTGTGCATCATGTGAGTTCAGTCTGTTTAGTCTGAGGCAGGCGTAGAGCCGCCAGTCCTCCTGCCAGCAGGAGTGCAGACACCATCAGCAGAGGTATGGCACAGTTTGAGTCCACCAGCTGCCCAAACACTACATTTCCCATGATGGCTGCCACACGACCCACTCCAGTGAAAACCCCCAGAGCTGACGAGCTACAGAATAGAAACTGGAATTAATACATTCATTCTTTCAATTCTCAGAATTCTTCTGCTCACCAAGGCTGCATGTATTTGATCAAAAATACAGTAAAATTGTGACATTATTACAATTGAAAATGTTTTCTATTTGAATATATTGTAAAATGTAATTTATTCCTGTGGTGCAAACTGAATTTTCAGCATCATTACTCCAGTTTTTAGTGTCACATGATCCTTTAGAAATCATTCTATTCATCAAAGAATCCTATAATGATTTCCAAAATTATTAAGCAGCAAAAAAACGGTTTCAACACTGTGATTACAATGTGATTTTCTGGATTTTTTTTTCTCATTTTGTCTCTCATAGTTGAGGTATACCTATGATGAAAATTACAGGCCTCTCTCATCACACATACACATACATACAAACAAACACACACATACATATATATATATATACATACACATAAACACACACAAAGAAGATAAATATGAGTTTACTGTAGAGACTTTAAAAAAAAATTCTACTACTGTAGAAACATTAAGAAAATCTTAATTATTCCTTTTGACCAGTAGTGTAAATGATGTCTGTTTTGATTGACTGACCTCTCTGCATGTTTATTTAGTCATTTAGCAGACGCTTTTATCCAAAGGGACTTACAAATGAGGACAATAAAAGCAGTCAAAACTAACAAAAGAGCAACAATATATAAGTGCAAATGACGTGAAATCAGTATCAGTATTACTTTATTACAAACGAATATTGGGGTTTACCGTAGTTGTGTGGGGTAAAGTTCAGTTCCCACCACGTCTAGAGCGTTCCAGGAGACGACAGAAACACCGCTGAACACGCAGGACATGATCAGACTCTGAGCTTTGGTCTTCACCACATAGATGAGGAACACGCTCACGCTGGACACCAGCAAACTCACGGCTACCAGAGAAAAATCCACATTATCATAATGCATCATTATAGCGCTTCATTAGTTCTTTAATATTTTGTAGTAATAAAATATTTTGAGCTGCCATTCAAACATTGGAAGAAAAAACCTGTTGTACTAACAAAGCAGGATTTTCCCGCCAATTCTGTCCATGAGCAGGATAGTGAAGATGTTTCCCGGCAAGTTCGAAGCAGCTGTTACAAAACCCTCCATGTACACTATAAAAACACATGAACACATGCAAACGACACAAAGCCATGAGAAATAACACTTGAATATCATGACAACAAAATAAAATATAACTAACAAATTTCATATTTGTGTGCTTTTGCTGATGAGAAAAATATTGATTAGTCTCATTCAGTCCGGTTTTAGTAGCATTAACCTGCAGTTTTGACTGGATAGCAGCTTTCATTCTCTGAGTTTTGGACTCGAGACACGTTGGCGCATGGAGACCCTCCATCCTCGGTTCTCTTAAAAAGCTCTGGAAACCACATCCATAATCCATAATACCTGCACAGAGAGGATTACAACATTGTAATCCTAGTGGGTCTGTTTTTTACTTCATCATCTTTGTATAATCTGCATCATTTTAAATTAACTAATTATAACAGATTTAAATGTTTAAAGTTTTAAATTTAAAGGTACAGTAGCAAAAACAACCTGTCGTGTTTAGCCAATCAGAACAGAGTTAATTTACATATCGACGTTATGATGTAGCAGCAAAGAAAAACAGCTCGTTTAATTCTAAGATTCAACTAAATTATGACTGACTTCGGTGTAAAAACCTTGACACCTTAAATTGGTAGAATATTTTGCCTTTACCATTTTATAATTTAAGTTTAGTACCCAAATGAAATGCAGAAAAATATAATCAGCAGAACGACACTTCTGGAAGCCAACGGTCCAACAAACAGCTGTTTCATGGGGTCCAGAGCCTGTAGAAGAACCAGCAAGGCCATAAAGAGCTCGGTATGACTTCATGTTAGCATTAATAGCTTCTAAGAAAGCAGAAAAGAAAATCTCAATAATGCATCAAAAGTGCTCTGAACCTGTTTGAGTTGGTGGCTGAACTGCTGACATCTTGAGCCGCTAGTGGGTCTGTTTTTTACTTCATCATCTTTGGATCTGATCACAAGACCTGGTACCTGTTAAGAGAAACTGTCAGTTTTATCAAATGACAAACCAAAATAATGTAGTTGGCTTTATGAGAAGTGGGAAGGTTTGGCCTAGAATTGAAAGCAAACATCATCGAGGCGGTACTGACGGGAAATGGTTTTGTGGCACATCTGTTGTTCAGTTTGAACATCTTCTGGAACACAGACAAAGCCTCTGTCTCACGTCCAGCCTGTGGAAGAGAAACACAGTGAAATAATGTGCCACCGAACCTGACAAACATGCAGCCTGTAATGGACCTTAATACAGTACATGCTATATTTGCAGTTCTACTAAATTCTAGAACTGTGACTTGTTCAGACACATGGAGTTCTAGAATTCACAGCCTACTAATTGAACTTTTGTATCGGTGTAAAATAAAAAGTAAAGTATCTGACGGTACACACCTCCATGAGGAACTTGGGGCTCTCTGGCATGAACAGTCTGAAAATAAGTGCTGATGACAGACTGGGGACGGAGCAGAGGACCACAAAAAGACGCCAACTCTGAAAATCCAACCAGCCCCAATGAGCACTCAAAGAAGTTCTGGGAATCACCAACCACGCCACACCTGGAAAAACACAAAATATGTATTAAAAATCAATATTCATGCATCAATGTTTTGCACTAACGACAATAAATGAGTACAGGCTACTTATTAGCTTATTATTTAGACCCTTTTTTCTAAATAGTGGCACATGATATATTTTTAGCTTTTGCCTTATGCATTGTTATTTTGTTTATTTAAATATCTTTTATATTTTTATTTATTAATGGATACATTTTTGGTTATTTACTTTTGTCTTGTGCATTTTTTGCATGTTTATTTAAATATATTTTCATATATATTATTGCTAATGTATTCTTATCTTTTTTTATTATCTCTAGATCTTCAGGTTGTGTTCTTTACTGCTCAGGTTTCAATATTAAAACAAAACCGGAAAAAAAAACACTTATACAACCTTCTAGACAGTATTTTAGAGACACTCCTCTCTCAGCTCAGAGGATGATGGTTTTACCTGCTGCTAAAATATTTCCAGCCATCCAGAAGGTGGCTAGAGCGCTGATCATAGCCCCCCTCCTCAAACGTGGCTGAAACTCAGAAAAATAGGAGAAGATGACAGGAATGGAGCCGCCGACCCTGAGAGTGAGACACAGATGCATTCATGGGATTCCAGTCAAATGTGTCGAGATTCTGTCTGTATAATTTCTATCGAAACCTTCAGAATGTCTCTGTGGGTGTAAAAACTCTTTTGGCATGTCATTACCCGACTCCACTGAAGAACCGCAGGAGCAAAAAGAGCCAGAAACTCGGGGCCAAACTGGCCACCGCCCCAAATATGCCATTCACTGCCAGAGAAATGACCAGAATGCTCCGCCTTCCTCTGCGATCAGCCAGATACCCCCAAACATAACCGCCCACCATCATCCCTGTCAAAGGAAACGGCCGGTTGACACGTTCTATCTTAATGAGCCGCATGACAGTCAAATCACATGGTTATGTCAGCAGTTTTAATCACTGGGTCAGTTATGTATTTCTTGTAAAAAATAAAAAAAAAACTGAAAAACTATGAGCATGACTCTGCAGTTTTCAGACACGTGATAAGGCAAATAAAATACAAAGTTCAACCAAATAGGGAACAAACTGCATTTTTGACCTGCTTTATTTATTTGATAAAAATGTTTGATATTCCTCCTTTGACCTGCAGTTTAAGACTGCAAAATGAACATGTCTTGCCTTTAACCATTTTCTCACCATGAATGAACCACAAATGCCTAATTTTCAGTTTTAAAAATGCAACATGATCAGATATTTGGTTAGAAAATCAAATTTAAAAAAAGAAAGCAGCACAGATAATAACCAAGGAATATGCTGGAGGTGAGGAGCCCCATGTCGGCTGAGGTCAGCAGGAGGTCACAGCGTGCCGTGGGCAAAAGGAACGAAACACACAGGATCTCCACCGCATCGCTAGCGTTCGCCCAGCCGCAGACCACCAACAGCAGCCAGTGGAAGAGCCCGAACCCTGCAGACAGACAGAAACATGAGGATCGCTGACCACTGCATCTGGACATAAGAAACTACATTTAGGACAAATTATTCACCACATTAAATACATAAAGGTCAAATAAAGATGATTTAACCTGCTTTCTCAACAGCCTCCTCATATGAAAGTTTCTTTCTGCTGGATGTCTGGTCATCTAATGGAAACATTATATATCACTAAAATTATCATATATATATACAGGATCATTATGTACACACACACACATATATATATATATATATATATATATAGGATCATTATACAAACACACACACACATATATATATATATATAGGATCATTATACACACACATATACACATATATATATAGGATCATTATACAAACACACACACACATATATATATATATATA